GTCTCTGTTTGAAATATAATACTAGAGCGACCCAGAAATTTAAAGGAACTGGTCTTCGATTACTTGGTGACATAATGAAATACGCAAGAGCCATCGTGATTGTTTTACAAAGAAGGAAACGTTCATCATGTAGCCTGCTTTAGAAGGATTCTGTGTTATCATTTGGGATCTTTTGAAGCACAAACCAGTCCTTATTGCATGTACAGTCAGTAGTATCCGGTCAAGTTGCATGAAAGTCATTTCTCCCAAAGTTATGTTGCCCAAAACCAGGGAGTCGAGTTGCCCGAAATTTTTAGTTAAGGTAGCTCGACTGGATTTTTTAGGGGGGATACCTCCCAATTTGTAGCACTAACTACGTGGGCACGAGTAAAGTTATGGGAAAAAGGCTACCACTACTGTATCGTATAAAGATGAAAATTTCTTATGATCTGGGTTTTTTGCAATTGGAGTCGCCATATAAGTCATCTTTATATAATACAGTTGTGGTAACCTTTTTGCCATATCTTTGCTCATGCCGATGAAGTTAGTGTTCACACTTGGGAGGTATCCCCCCTAAAACATCCAGATGAGCCATCTTAGTTGTCTGAATTCTGAGTAATATGCATTTTAATAAAGATCTTAATAAAGAGTGTATGCAATATATCTCGTTCTTTAGGCAATAATGAGATGGAACAAAGAAAACTACTAGTTTTTGGAATTTTTTACTTGTTTTGGACGAGTAGACGACTGTTAAGTTCGAGCACTGCCTTGGTTTAAATTTTATTTCCTTTGTTTTTGGGTTCGGTAATATATGATAATAAGTTTGAAACAAAAGAAATAAAATTTGAACCAGGGATAAAATATCCAGAAAACATAGGGATCAGACCATGTGCCTCTACTTTTCCTCTTTTAAACATATTCTGCTCCAACAAACTATTATTTTTGTATCTTACTAAAAGGAACCAAAAGTGCCAAAATAAAAAAAGGGAGAAAAATGCTAAGTTAAAAGTCTGGATTCATCTTGAAATCAAATGCATTGTGGGATGCAATATGGCAGCTTGTTGTTAAACGTTTAGCGATCGTGAAAGTATCCATTTTTCTTTGATGTGCCAATTGTTGAAATATTAAATGGCCAAATGAAAACACTAACTGTTTTAAGACAAAATCCATTTTAAATGATCAAGAAATAAGGGCAACATATTCTGCAAAAAATGGCACTGCTCCGTCACTAAAAACCCTGGAATTCCAGGAGTCATACATACATACACAAATGATATACAAGCAAAAAAGGATTTTAGTGACCAGTATATTTTCATCCTCCTGGTCATGTGGAAGACCAGATCAAAAAGTGAATTTCAAGCGCTGGCTAGAATTCAGTGGATGTTCCCTATTACTTTCTACCTTCGGCTGATTCCATAATATCACCTCTTGTAAACAATATTAAAGGACAGGATAATCAGTTGGAAAATTGTGTCTGGTAGCCTCTCAGCTAATAAAAGCACCCTATACTGTAGAATGCTGACTTTTTAAACCCTGACGTTTTTTGGAACTTCTGATGATTGAAACCTAAAGTGACCTGTGCAGTGATGGTGGCCTGGATGAAGTGAACTTCCCAATAACAGTATTAACTTTTCTATTTCGGTTTGAAAAATCAATATTCTACTGTACAGGTTTTGCAGCAAGTTTGTCTATTGTAAACAATGAAATATCTCATCTTCACCAATGTTTTGTGTTTATCAATGAAATTAGTCTTATTGATTTTTTCCAATGACCCCCCATTGAGACACATATTAGCATGAATGAATGCAAGGCTAAAGTGGGGAGCTTCTTAGCAAAAGACAAGTTAGTTTGGTCGAGCGCTCGCACAGACAAAATGGATTCTCCCTCACCAAAAGACAAACAAACATAACAAAAACAGTAGTTGAGTTGGTGGCTTGCTCTATATACTTGAGATTATTTTCATCCATATCAGTCTTCGTGTGCTTGCAAAGAAGCAGGTACAGTTATTGAGAATGAGTCATGTTAAATGAACTATTCTTTTATTATCAGTGACCAAACCATACAAGAGAAGGTTTTAAACACCATTTGCCATGGAACAGCCTGGTGGAGAACATGGTAAATATGAACTATGAGGTTTCTTTTGAGTTGTGAATTGCAGGGCAGATCACTTTTCAGCTAATGCTATGCTGTGTTATAAGGGTTTTCCTGGAGGCTTAACAGGATCCTTTCAGGATCCTTTTTTCACTAAGTTTATAACTGGTTTAAAGCTAACAGGAAAAAATAGCTGTTACAAACTCCTGGCTTAAGTGTAGAGACCGTTGTGTTTTTTGCTTAGGTTGAATACTTTTTCTTTTTAAGCATCTTTTCTAAAACAAGATTATTATGAGTTCATTAGCTTGTGGTATAACTGCTTGCTTGTCCTGAATACACTGAAGTGGGACGAAAACCCAAATGTGGGTAACACAAAAGTAGGCACAAGCTAGTTTGGTAATGAAAAAAAGTTCATAACCAGTTAAATCGAATTTTTCATGTTATTGCTGAATAACAGTTGTGGCTTTTCTCAAAAATTCATGCCTGTTGCATTTAAATGGAAAATGTTATGAGTTAGACAAAGTTCATAGTATGTCATCCCTGTGCCTGTGATAAAAAGGTAGTCACCTTAACAATTTCTATGGGGTTCTGCCTTTCAATATTTGGAATGAAATGAGTGTACAGTCAAACCTCGATTATCCTGACCTTCATTATCTGGACTTGTTTCCCTGGTCCCATTTTTTTCATGAATATTAATAAGACGTGATCTCGAAAAATTGAAACGATTAAAAGTTCATTAATCCTTCCAAAGGTGCTTTTAAAACACTGTTTTAATCTGTTTTGCT